ACATCTGGTTCCCTTTAGGCCTTAGGAGCTGTCAGGCTGGTATAAAAGAGGGTGAGAGGCAGAGGGGACTCTGCCAAAATCCCAACCTGTGTTATGTGAAGTTAATGGGCTGGTAGGAGGGTACAGGTGACCTTGTTTCTTTGTAATGAGGGAAAGAACCCACAGCTGGCACTGTGATGGTGCCAGCTCTGGGGGGATTCCAGTGTCCTTGCCAGCAGGGACCCTGGGTGTAATGCCCTCTGGTTGTAATGCCCTTTGTTTGAAAGAATAACCTTTCCATTCACTTCTGTGTGCCTAGTTTGAAATCTAACCTGCTGTAGAGAGCCAAGCCAGGATGGCAGACTGGACTCTGAACAGCCAATGCATTACTCCATTACCAGCAGTAATGTTAAAGCACTCTGGACCTCAGCAGTGCAGGTAGGGCTGCAGCTAAGCTTTGCTCATTTGCTGTCACTGCAGCTAAAATTATTGCAGAGATCTTCTTGGGGGGGGTTTTGTATCCTGCTGAAGTAGACAGCATTGGCTGGGTAAGAAACTCCATCTTTATTTAACATAGCTTGGCCTGCAAACCTCCAGCGTGTTATCTTACAAAGCTGCCAAGGGAAAAATAAGGCTATATGTGGATGTACAGTAGTGGTGCCTTAGTTAGGGCATGTATCAAAAACCCAACCTGCAGCACCTGCAGATCTGTGACTGCTCTCAGAATCTCAAGCACTTACAGAATGCCTTCTGCAGAGGTGAGAGGAATCATTGTGCTGTACTGAGCCTCCATGAAAGCCAGAAACAGATGGGCTCCTGCTTGCAGTATTGAAGTATAGGTGAGCTGTTCAGTTCTCAGCACTTCTGCTCTGCCTTTCTGTGAGGTAAGAGCTACCAGCTGGATTTCTGCCTTGCTTGCCTGGACAAGGCACAGTGATGGCCTCAAATCTCTGATGCTGAGTGAGGGAACCCACTTACAATGATGGTATATGCCAGTCTTCACTAAGCAGCCATGACAAGACGTGGGATTTACCAAGTCCTCTAGATGAAAGGGATGGCTGTGCTCCAGCCCTCTCACTGTAAGGTCACCTAAGACTACTCTTGTGCTCTGCAAAATTGTTCTTTATGCAGAGGTAGCTAAAAAGCCAGAAGCTGTATGAGGGGCAAGTGGGCACATCTTGCCTCCCATCCTTGCTGCTGCAGAAGAGATGGCTGAAGGCTGACCTTCTGTCTGAGCACTGGGCAGCACTGAGTTCTGGGCAGCTGATACCCAGGGGCAGCGAGGCTTTTATTGTACAAGCTCTAGCAGCTGATGCAAGATCCTTTTCTGTCCGTAGCGTACATGCAAGGCTTGCTGTTCTCTTCGACTCAGTTTCTCGTAAACCTCCTTATTGAGCAAGTCCTGCTCTGCTCTCAGGTCTGACCTGTACGACTCCAGGGTCAGCAGCACGCTGTCATAAAGGAGCATCTTACAAGGGGCTTTCAGTCTGGAGAGAGCTGCGTTAGAAAGGGTTGAGTTTTCCTCTTCCTCACTGTCCTCCTCCCAGCCATCGTGTTCCTTGTACTCCTTGAACTCTTCTTCTGACATGCACAGCACCTGCAATGACCCAACCAGAGACAGCTCAGGAGAAGTGTGAGTACCTCAGGCTTTCTTCCCTAGAGCAGTGCAGTCTTTGGGTCACATGGGGCAGGTGAGTTATTCCCCAGCTGAGGAATTATGCCTCAGTGAGAGAGCAATAGCTAATGCCAAGGGATGTGGAAGAGCATCCAGACAGCAAGCCTCAGCCAAAGAGCTGTTTGAAGCCAAAACTTAAGTATGGAGGGGAAGGAGGGGGAGGGTTCATCCAGGAGAGGAGGGCAGTCACACCGACCACTTCTCACACCAAGAGTTCATGTGCTTGTCTGCCTTCATTTCACTGTTCTGCTATGGTTCTAACAGCTGCAGTATAGTCTGTGCCCTTTCCTGTGCAGCTCTTTAGCCAGGTGGTCATCACTCAACACTGCTTACCTTCAGGGTTGTGGACAGCTCCTCCTCTGTCAGCACTTCATCCCAGCCCAGCACAAAGGCGCCTTCCTCACCCACCATCTCCAACTGGCACAAGAAGTCCCACTGTTCAGCAACCAGCTGCTGCTGTGCTTTGCTTTTGGCACCTGTTTTGAAGACAACAGAGCTGCAAACCCAACTCAGTTTGCAGGTTTGCAGTAGCGGTGATGGCAGAAGGGGAAACAGGAAGCAGAAAGCTGTAGCATAGCCCCAGCACCTAAAGTGCCATGAACAGCCTCGTTTCCCTTCACCCTGAGCCCCGTTTCATTACATCACTGCTTAACAGGAGTGACCCCTGCCCCATCCTTTCCCAGCATGGCTGTGGGTGCCACTCACGCTGCAGTGCTGCCTTGCGTACGGTCACCATCTGGATGTCAGCTGTGTCGTTGGTGTTGCCTGGATATGGCTCTGCAAAGCCATACATGTGCAGGAGCTGCCAGTTGGCCATCTGCCCATAGGTGTTGAAGATCTCCTTCCCTTTGCTGATGGGTTGTGTTGTAACCATCCGTAAACAACTCTGCAAGCAGAGAGAGTAGAGGCTCTGAGAGCTGTAGCAATCCTACTGCTCCTTAGTGGGGTGCTTCTTGGAGCATGGTGTTGGTTTTCCCCAGGAAAGTGATCCAGGTATGTGCCTAATGTGTGATATTCTGTGTACAACAACAGTGAGCAACAGGAGAAACAAGCCTCAGGTCCTGCCCTACAGCAAGAGCATCTTTAGGAAGGTTCACCTGATCCTAAATTCTTCCTGGCTGTAACAAAGCAAACAGCAGCTGTGTGTGTCACACAGAACAGCTTACAATGAATAAGATCCATGTCCACTTGTTGCCCTGGCAGTGGGCAGTGCTGCTCTGGCCTCAGAGAGGCAGTCATGCAGGGAAGGGGTACAGAGCCCTGGCACTCACAGGAGCATATTCCAGGCTGGCGTTGTGGTTGGCCACATGATTCAAAATATCAGCTACAGGCACCATCATGGGAGGATTGGGGCCCTTCTCATCTTCATCTTCCTCCTCCAAGGGCTCCTGAAAGCTATGACCAGGGACATGAAGACAATCCTGTTTTATACCTTGCAATACAATAATACAAGGGCAAGCTTTAGCTTATTCTTGCTCTCTTAAATCATAAAGCCTGCAATCGCTTACCACCCTCTTCTCCCCTTGCTCATCTTTCCTCCCCTACATCAGAGCAAACCCTCACTGCTCACCTGTAAGCCATGACAAAAGCCACCAGCTGCTTGTACAGCTCCAGCGTGTGCAGCTCAGGGTCAAAGATATCGGGGTGGGACTTCATGAAGGGCAGGATGATGGAGCTGTACTCCAGCTGGATGTTAACCAGGTCCTTGTCCACTGCCTCGGGGATGCCAGTGCCCTGCAGGAGCTTCGTTCGCTCTTCTTCTGGCCTGTTGCAAACAAAACTAGCAGCTCTATCTCCATCTGCCCCTAAGGAAGAAGGGTCTGAGCTCCTTCAGAACAGCAGCTTCTTGTACACTGTGGAGCTCTGTTTTCTGTTGCAGGGAGTTGCAACCTCATTTAGCGCCTCACAGTGATCTTAGGCTGCTGCCCCTCACAACACGGGGCTGGAGCAGCTGAAGTCACCCAGCACACCCACATCCCTTCAGCTGCAGCACCGGGCCCTCCGCAGAGCTGCTGGCTTTCGCCTTACCAGAACATGGGGTGATCCAAGCTGCTGAAGTCCTGCCAGAGGGAGAAGTAGGGCTGCCAGCGGGAGGTGCTGGTTGTGTATTCGTGCAGCAGGGCCAGCAGCAGCGGCACCCACCCAGACTGGCTCTGCAGGGACTCCTGGGCTACACAACCAGATGTATCAAAGAAAACATAAATAACTGAGGTTGATTTGAGATTTTAATCAATTGCTCCGAAAAATGTATTTTCCCAGAACTAAAGTGTGCAGCAGCGACTCAGAGCAACGAGAAAACGCCCTGGTTTATAGGCTGCCTTCACAGCTAGCGGGCAACATCCCAGCACAGGGCTGCAAATGAGATGACCTTCAAGGTCTCTTCCCCCTCACGCCGTTCTGTGCTTCCCCCCGGCCTGGCTGCTGCAGGACCGGGAGCTGCCGCCCCGTGCTGGCACTTCACCCACGTGCGTGAAACCAGAACGGCTTCCTCCCAGCACTGAAGCGAGCCCTGGGCCGGGAGGGCCGTGCTGTCCCCTACGAGAGGAGCTTTTCCATCGCGGTGCAGGCAGCAGGACCGAGCCCTGCGCTTCACCGCAGCCCCACTCGTACACAAAGCACAGAACCCCAGAGCCAGTACCGCTCCCCGGCCCCGCTTACGGACAAGACGCGGTAAGGTGGAGCAGCGGGAGGCCCCGCGCGGCGCTCACCGTCGTGCAGCAGGGCTCGGATGGCGCACGTGTGCTGGGACAGCAGCGCGCTGCGCGGCACGGAGAACAGCAGCTCTCCCGGCTCCAGGTCGGCGGCGGCCAGCAGCCCGTAGCCCGACACCGTGCCCCGCCGGCTGATGGACACCTGCGGGGACAGCCCCGCTCAGCCCCGCGGCCTTCCGCCCGCTCCGGGGTCGGGCCCGCTCCCCGCCGGCGCTCACCTTGGGGCTGAGCTCCACGCCCGCCGCCTCGCACCACGCCACGAAGCCCGCCGTGGGGTCCGGCCCCGCCGCCCTGCGCCGCTTGGCCGGGGCCGCCATGGCCGCACGTGGGCCGCGCGCACTTCCGGGCGGCGCTAAGCTCCGCCCCCCCCTCCTCCCCCGCGGACGGTGGCCGCGGCGGGACAAAAAGGCGCTGCGGGGCGAGAACGCGTCCGCGTCCCTCTACGGTCCTCCGCGGGCCGTGGCGAGCACCGCCCAGCAGCCCCACGTGAGCCTGGATAGCTCAGTTGGGAGAGCATCAGACTTTTAATCTGAGGGTCCAGGGTTCAAGCCCCTGTTCAGGCGCCGCTTTATCCTTTAGGCGCCCGGCGCCGCTCCCCGTCCCGCCCGCAGCCCCGGCAGACGCAGCCCGAGCCGTCAAACCGAAGCGCGGTTTTATTGCACCGACGAACTTTGCTTCCCGGCGGCTCCCATCCACTCCGTGCAGCGCAGCCCGGGCCGAGCGGCGGCCCCCGCCTCGTGCGTTCATTTCTTGCCAGCAAGAAAACAAAGAGGTAATAAATAGGAAGCGCGTTGTGGGGGGGCGAACGGGGGGGGAACAGCGCAGGCTGGGGACGCGTGGCCGTGGCCCACGGGAGCTCAGGCAGGGGATATAGCCGTCTCTATGTCGTTACATTAAAATAGACTATTTAAAAAAATCATTTCTAGTAGTTAAAAAACGCCCGGCCGCGGGGCTAAATGACGTGGCAGCAGTTGAACTGCCCCAGGGACAGCAGGCTCTCCTTGGGGCCGGGGTGGATCTTGAAGGCCAAAGCTTTCTCGCACAGCGGGAACTGCATCAGCCGCTCCCTCAGGCTGCCGCTCTTGCCCTTACCCGGGTCCAGCTTTATCACGTTCTCCGCCTCCCCCTCGCTGCCCCCCGCCCCCCCGCGGACCCCCGTCGCGCGTTTCTCCTTCGGCCCCGGGGAGGCGGCGGGGTCGGCTCCCCCCCTTTCCCCGGGACGCCCCGAGCCCTCCCTGCCCTCGGGGGTCCCCGCGCCGCCCCTCCCGTCCCCCCGCGGCTCCGGGGGCCCTCGGGCTCCGCCGGCACCCCGGTACCCCGCCCGGCCCCCCGGCTCGGCCCCCCAGCCCAGCACCTCCCCGCGGCACGGCGGCCGACGGGCCCCGGCACGGAGGAAATCTCTCATCTGCTCCTGGTTCAAGGAGCTGCTTTTCCTCTCCATCACGCCGGGTCTGCACTCCTCTTCCTCCTCCTCTTCTTCCTCCTCGCAGATTTGCTGCAGGGCCGGGGTACTTTTGGTGATGGCCGTATCGATGGTGGGAGCCTTCAGCAGCACCCGGGGGGGCTGACGCCCGCTGCTGGGCTGGGAGCCGCCAGGAACCTCTGCTACGGGCTGACGGCCCCCGGTGCCGTCCCCAGGGCCGAACGTGTCCGAGAGGTCGGTCCTGAGCGTGGGGAAGGGCACGGAGGGGGGGTCAGCACCCAGCCGCGTGGGGCTTGGGGCGCTGGGGGGCGGCTGGGGCTCACCTGCTTTGCACCTGCTTGGCCAGGTCGTAGACGAGGCTCTGACGGCGGCTCTGTTCCTCCTGTTTCTCCCGCAGCATCCTCTCGGCCAGCAGAAAGTAGGTGGCCGTGATGTGGTTGTAGCGGTCGGCCTCCAGCGCCCTGCGCGACACCGGGAAGGACGAGCATCAGAACCCGATGGCCGCGCTCACATCGGCACCGCCGGACCTCCCTCCCTCCGCCCCCCTCTGGCTGCCGCTCACTCCTGGATGGTGTCGCGGTCGGCGATGTGCCCGCACGTCATGGCCTGGATGATGATCTCGTGCTCCTCCTGGGACACGCGCTTGTGCGAGGTGAGGGGCAGCAGGCAGCGGCTGGCTGGGGACGGATCCACCCCCTGCAGCCACGCGTGGCCCTCGATCTGCTCCAGGGAGGCTCTCTGCCGGGGGTCCCGCTGCAGCATCCTGGAGATGAGGCTGCCCGGGGAAGGAAGGGACACCGGGATGAGCACAGCCAGAGCCTTCCCCCGGCCCCGGCCCCATCCCTCCGGCTCCCACGGGGCTCCCATGGGGACGGGGAGAGCTGCCTACTCGGAGCACTGTGCGGAGACGTGTGGGGGCACGGTGTAACGGCAGTCCATGATCATGGTGAGCGTCTCGCTGTCGTTGGCCTCCTGGAAGGGCGGCTGTCCGCACACCAGCATGTAGAGGATGACCCCCAGGCTCCAGATGTCTGCAAGAGGAAGAGGAAGATGAGAGTCAGTGAGCTCCTGAGGAAGCTAAAATGTGACGGCTGCCAGCCCATTAGGGAAAATCCCAGCTGGCAGGGATCGGGGACCCCCCACGGGACACAGCCCCCCGTGGCACTTCAGCTCCTCCCCAGCACACATAGGGATGGCTGGAATTGACCCCCAAATCTAGCTATGGGTCTGGTGCCCAGGTGCCATAAGGATGGGGCTCCAGCACGCACCTGCAGCCTTCACCCCAGTGCCAGCCCCTCTGGAGGAGGTCCCCAGAGCAGGGCAGCAGTGTCACCAAAACTCCCCACACCCCAGGCACTGGGTCAGCCCTTCCCAGCTGTGCAAGCACACCCCAAATGGGCTGCCCCACCCCGGGGCCGGGGCCAGCCCTGTGCCAGCTGCAGCAGCACTCATCTTCACGTGCCTCCTTGTGACCACACGCAGCCCCGCTGCAGAGACAGCCCTGTGCACAGCTCCCGCCCCGCCTGGCAGAGACTGATTTTCTTCCTATTGCAAAACCACTTATTTTTAGGATGCTGAGCGCAGGCTCTCCCTTAATACCTTCAGCTTCTTAAGTGCCTGTGCATTTTAAAATTTCTCATCCGTGCCAGTTTCCTTGCTTGATTTGCTTTTGCAGAGCCACGTATTCGTATTCCCACCACCCCTCCGAGCCCTGACAGCTCTCAGCTTAGAATCCTTCACCTCGCCCCATGCTGAAACCGGGCCGTTTCCTTGCAAAGCTCCAGCACTGTGTTTTGCCCAGACCTCCTGCCCCAGCTCCCTGCAGGGCTGGCTGGACTCCCAGTCCTCCTTCTCCTCCCATGGCCCAAAGCACCAGCAGGAAGCGCCCGGAGGAAACTTTGGGAGCTGGAGGCGGCTGCATCCTAAGCAGGTTTCCTTCCCACATCCAATTGCTGCCAGGGCCATGATGTGCTCAGCCGAGCATCGCTGGGGCAGGGTTTGTCCCACAGGGCTCTGAGGATGCCCAAAGAGCCACAAGAAACTGAAACACAAGCCCACGTGCGTACCAAGATGGCAATAAATGGGAGCGCAGGAGGCATGGGAGACCTCCAGACCCTTACCCACAGCTGGAGCATCGTACTCATCCCCAAGCAGGATCTCTGGTGCCGAGTACGCCAGCGAGCCACAGCTGGTGGTGAGCATCTTGCCGGGCTGGAAGCGGTTGCTGAAGCCAAAGTCCGTCAGCTTGACCACCCCCTGCTCCTGGAAGAAGACCACGTTCTCGGGCTTGAGGTCGCGGTGCACCACGTGCAGCTTGTGGCAGTAGGAGATGGCGTGGACAATCTGGGCGAAGTAATGCTTGGCACGGGGCTCGGCCAGGCCGCCCTCATGCCTCATGATGTGGTCGAACATATCGCCGCCGTCGCCCAGCTCCAGGATGAGGTAGAGCTTGGCGTGGGTGTCGATGACCTCGTAGAGGCGCACCACGTTGGGGTGCTGCACCAGCTTCATGCAGCGCACCTCCTGCAGCAGCTGCCCCGCCGCCTCGCCCGCCAGCTTGCTCTTGTCGATCACCTTGACGGCCACGCGCTGCCCCGTGAAGACGTGCCTGGCCAGCTTCACCACGGCGAAGTGGCCCTTACCCAGCGTGCGCTCCAGGTCGTACAGCCCCGCGATTTTGCCCTCGGCCATGGCGCCGGGCGGGGACAGGCATCGGGCGCTGCAGGGCAAAGGGTGCTGACAAAGGGCATCCCAATTCCTGAGCACCCCAACACCCACTGTCGTCCTGCTGCACGGCGGCCCGAGTGGACCCTGTGCATCCCTACATCCCTCGGCGCCCCAGCAGCACAGCGCTCCACCTCCAGGACCTCAGCACCAGCAGCCCCAGCACTGTGGGCATCCCAATGCACCCACCTCCCCATCCCCAGGCACCCCAATATCCCGCCTGGTTCTCAGCATCCTGGGCACCTCAGCACCCCGTATCATAGAATCATAGAACTATAGAATGGCCTGGGTTGAAAAGGACCACGATGCTCATCCAGTTCCAACCCCCTGCTATGTGCAGGTCGCCAACCAGCAGCCCAGGCTGCCCAGAGCCACATCCAGCCTGGCCTTGAGTGCCTGCAGGGATGGGGCATCCACAGCCTCCTTGGGCAACCTGTTCAGTGCGTCATCAGCCATGTCCCCAGACACCAGAGTGCCCCTGTGGTCTCCAGCACCCCGAGCATCCCAACAGCCCCACTTCCAGCACCCCCCAACCCTGAGGGTGTTACTGAGCACCCCAACAGCACTCCAACACCCCAACCTCCTGATCCCCGGTACCCCGTGCACCCCAATGCCACCAGCCCTCAGCACCCCTATATCCCCACCTCCAGCACCCCAATCTCCAATCCCCAATCAAGCACCCCAAAACGCCACCCTCCAGTTCCCAGCACCCCAAAACGACCACGGCCATCCCTACCTAGAGCACCCCAGCGCCCCAACCCCCCCCCAGCTCCGCATCCCCAGCGCACCCCAACTCCCGGCACCCCAACACAACCACCGCACCTCTCCAACCTCCCACCCCATCTCCCCCCCCCCAGCCCCCAAATACCACTCCCAAACCCTACGTCCGACCCCTCGCAATCCACCCCCGCCTCCCCCCCATCCCTCAGCCCCCCGCTGTACCCCCGGGTGTCCCGCACTCACCGCACGGCGGAGCTCGGGGCCGCGGGGCTGCGGCGTCCCGGAGCGCCCGCCCCGCTGACGTCAGCGTGCTCCGGCCCGCAGCCTTAAAGGGCCCCCGTCCGTCCCGCACCCCCCACCCCGCATCCTGGCTGAGGCCGGGCGCAGCTCATCGCACCCGGCTCGGCTTCCAGTCCGCTCCTCTTCCCCTCCCCAACCCGCCCCCGCCGTTCCCGGGGGATGAATCCCATACGGACACGTGCGGGACGGCCACGCTGCGGCCGCTCTTTTCCTGGAAGCGATGCGGGCTGCTCATTTAGCTCGTTACTGCCCGGCCGAGCACCCGCAGATTAAAAAGCTCTCAGCGCTCGGCCGCCTCGGCGATGTTAATGCCTTCCCAGAAACCCGCAGCTCATAATGAGCCCCGCTCCAGGCTGGCGTCACTGCTGCGGGCTGAGGGCACAGGAATGGGGTCTGCATCCTGCTATGGCAGCAGGGTGCTGTGCAGGGGGTTCTGAGTGGGTGTTGTGCATGGGGACCCAGCTGGGTGTGAGGGGTGGGCATCCCAAGTGGGTGTGTGATGTGGGCATCCCAAATGGCTGTGAGGTATGAGCATCCCAAATGGGTTTGTGATATGGGCATCCCAAATGGCTGTGAAGTGTGAGCATCCCAGCTGGGTACAGGATGCAGGGATCCCAGCTGGGTGTGGGGCTGCAGGAGGACTGATGTGAGCAAGGTGGATGCAGAGGTGACTCCTCCATCCCTACCTGGCCCCGTTGCTGTGAGGCTGGGGCTGCACCAGGTTCACTGCAGCTTCCTTTGGGTTTGGGTGTGGTGCTCAAGCACTGAGAAGCCAAAGGAACCACATCTGCACGCAGCTGTGGGACTCAGCACTCCTCCTTCTTCCTGGGGTGCAGCTGAGGCTGTGATGCTGAGCGCTCTGAGGCTGCAGGTCCTGGAAAGGATGAGTGAAGGAGACACAGTCGGTGCCTGGAGGATCTGCAGCTGGGCAGTGGTTGGGAGCAGAGGCTGTAATGAGCTCTGGACCGTGGCTGGGCTTGTGCCAGGAGCTACAGGGCTTTCTCCAGAGCGTGGAGAAGGATGAGGAAGTGGGGCTGGGTGCACTCAGAGGCTCCTCTGGCATCAGAGCTGCTCCTTTCCATGGCTTTGCTGGTTCCTGAAGGCTGCAAGGACAGGGGGCACTTAGAGCAGGCCTCCCAAAGCCACAGAGTGCTGGAGGAAGGGGACAGGGGGCTCATGTTGGGCCAGAAGCATTGCCGGTGTGTGAGGATGCAGGAGGAAGCTGTGTGTCCATCACTGGTCCTCTGTCCCTGGGTACCAACACAGGGGCAGCATCGCTGCATAGGCTTGTTTGGATTTTGGGACGAGTGGGCACCAGTTCCTGGCTGCAGCCCCACACAGCAGCACTCCGTCCCACCCACGCCCCGCTGGTGCTTTGCCATCCAGACAAAGCCCCGTCTGCAGCAGAGCCCACCTACCTGCTGCTTAGCGGGGTCATGTGGCTGAGGCACTTAATTAACCAGGAGCCGATATAAGATCCCGGAGAGATGTGGGGAGGGAGGACATCGAGGCAGAGCGACTCTGAGCGAGCCCTGCAGAGCAGCGCCTGCAGCCCCACATCGGCTGGAGGTCAGTGGGTCTGCAGGGAAGGGGCTGTGGGGCGGGGATGGGTGTGGGGAGCACCCCGCTGGGTGCCTGTGGCATGGAGTGGGGTGGCACTGTGGGGTAAAAAAGCTCTGGGTTCCCCCGTGAGTGAAGGACGGGAAGGGAGAGGGGCTGGTCCCACCTGGGGATGCTCCTGGCAGCATGACTGGAGGCTTTGCATGAAAGCTCTTCTGTCTTTGTAGGGTTTTTTAGGGTAAATGTGTGGCGCAGAGCTGCCACAGCCACTGCAAGGGCCTTTGCTGTCACACGCAGACCTGAAGGTCCTCTATCCATGCCCACTCTCTGTCTGCTCCACATCGCCCTGTAGTGATCTTCCCAAAGCCCCGCTGTTGTTTGTTGTGCCCAAACCCCACGGTGGCCTCAGCCTCTCCATTGCAGGAGCTTTCACAAAACACAGGGATGTCCCATGGCCTTTTGGGGACATTCCTGTCACTGCAGCTCCAGCTGCAATGCCCAGGACAGTGCAGGAGGCCTCTGGCTGCAACCGTAGGAAGCTGCTCCCATCCGCTCACCACGCTCCTGCCCACAGTGTTGCATACCTGTCTGTAAGACTGGCTGCCAAACACCTCTGGGGAGCATCACAGAGAAGACAGCCCAGAGCTGGGGTGCAGGAAGGCACCCGAGCTGGCAGCACTGCTGGCAGAGGGGCTGGGCTGATGCTGGCCGCTTGCTCTCTGTGCACGTTGCTCCAGGACCATGCTGAACGCACTGCTGCTGTGCTACGGGCTGCTGCAGGGGATCCAGGCCATCCTCAGCTCGGACCTCAGCCACAGCCCCCTGCAGAAGATGAGCTCTGGGCTGGAGGAGGCAGACAGAGCCCGCTACCCCAGCCTGCTGCGCAAGGCTAAGGAGCTGTCAGTGGAGCTTGCTGGTGAGTCCCACGATCCTCAGCCTTCGCTGGGACAGCCAGCTCCCCAAAACTGAAGCACGGAGCTCCTGCTCAGCCCGCAGTGCCCGCCTTGCCCAGCCTCTCTCTGTTTCACAGGAGCTATTCCCAGGATGGACTTGGATCAGATGGAGGTGCAAGAAGGTGATGGTAACCTCCTGCAGAAAAGCAGCGTGCTGGAACCACAGGTAACACACCGAGAGTTTTTGTTTTCCTAAAAACGCCCCAAACAGGGCTGCTTTGAGCCGCATCAGGCTTCTCTGTGCCCTGGGGTGGTTTGGAGCAAACACTTCACGAGACGCTGCACAGGAAGGGAGCATCCCTTCACTGCCTGCTGAGGGGTGTGGACACGCTGGGAGTCAGGGAAGCTGGAAATAGAAGGGCCAAGAAAGCCCCCCTGTTTGGGGCTGGCTTTCAGGGACGCTGCTGCAGGAGCTGGGAGGTGAGCTGGCTGGAGGCAGGCGAGGTTTCCCTGCTTCATTTCCTAAGAAACTGTGGGAACCCAACCTTCTCACCACACATTAGCGTAATGATAAGTGGGTGTGAAATATCCTCTTTTGAAATTGCTCCAGCCAGACCAATTGTTCAGCTAAAAATCAGAGGGGACTGTGAGAACACTTCCAGCCAAGGGGAATAGAAACATGAATCAATGATTGCCAGGTCCTTTGGGAGGAAATGCCAACCTCCCTTCCTGTTGCAGTGTGTAAGCAACCTGCCCCTGCTGTCTCTGCAGAGGACCAGACTTCCGTCTCAGGGGCAGATGGAGACCTGGGGGGTTGATGGATGAGCCACTGAAGTGATGCAGGGCATTGGGAATATCCCACGATGAGAGATTGGAGAGACCAGGGTTGTTTTCCTATGGACAAACAGTTCAAGGATCCTTGAAGGGAGGTAACCTCCAGGGGAAGGAAGGCTGCAGCTGGATGGGAAGAGGGGAATCCCAAGCAGGTCTTCACAGATGATGCCTTAGGTCCCCTGCGCTCAGGGGTCTGCAAGCAAAGCATGAAGAGGAGCTGGCATCACCAGCACCAAGCCCCAAGTATCTTCTTCTAGGATCAAGTTGAATTCTGGATATCTCAGCTTCCTGTTTGAGATGGAGGTGCCTCAGCCTCTGGCTAACACAGTTCTTTGGCAGCGGGGTAGACCATGAGCACTCCCTCTCCTCCTCTCCCCTGCAGGCATTGTCCACGGCCCTGCAAGCTGCAGGCAGGGAGGAGCGGAGCTCCCCTCGCCGCTGCGTCCGTCTCCTGGAGTCCTGCCTGGGCCACCAGATCCCCTGCTGTGACCCCTGTGCCACCTGCTACTGCCGGTTTTTCAATGCCTTCTGCTACTGCAGGAAGATCAGCACCACCTTCCCATGTGGCAAGAACTAGTGCCCATAACACACGGCTGCTCACTCATCCCCACCAGCCTCCCCCTCTGCAGCTCCAATAAAGCAGCAGATAGATAGCACTGCTATTGCTGAGTGTGGGCTGTGCTGGGTGCTGGGCTTGTGCTCTTGGGAACAAGGGGATGCGGGACGTCCTTCCTGCCCTGGGAACACACTGTGCTGTGCTTGGGACTGTGGGGGTCACTGAGTGCCACCAGGCTTCAGCAGGGCCACCTACAGCTGTGCTCAGCACCACATCATAGAATCACAGCATGGTTGGGTTGGAAGGGACCTCAAAGCCCACCCAGCCCCAACCCCTGCCATGGGCTGCCTACCCCTCAGCTTGGGCTGCCCAATGCCCATCCACGTTGTGGGGCATCTCCAGGAATGACACCCACAGCCCTGGGCAGCAATGCCAACCCCTCACCGTCCTCTGAGGGAAGGAACCTATAGTTCCCTTCTGTTAGTTTAAAGCATTTCCCCTGTCCTATCACTATCAAACTGCGTAAAAAGCCAGCCCCCCTCCTGCTTGTAAGCTTCCCTCAAGTACAGGAAGGCCACGATGAGGTGTCCCCACAGCCTTCTCTTCCTCAGCGTGAACAAGCCCAGCTCCCTCAGCCTTTCTTCACAGGACGCTCCCGCCCTCTGGGCCTCCTCTGCACGCTCTCCCCCCTCACCACAGGGCGTTCCCCCACCCAAACAGCTCAAACACTCCGAGATGGCAGCGAGCACAGCTGGGGAGGGGGTCACGGCAGCGTGAAAAGCCTTAAAGTCACGGCCGAGCGCTCAGGGCAGGGTGCTCTCAGCACCAACCCCGCACTGAGGGATGATGGCGGCGCCCTCCCTCACTCCGCCTCAGCCCTTCCCGCCCGCGCAGAGCCCGCCGGAACCGGAAGTGGGGCATTGACAGCTGCGTCACGTGAGCGCCGGGTCACGTGAGGCGCCGCCGGTCCCGCAGCCGCCGCCATGATGTCGTGCTTCCCGGAGCTCTACTTCAACGTGGATAACGGCTACCTGGAGGGTTTGGTGCGCGGCTTTAAGGCTGGCGTGCTGCGGCAGGGCGACTACGTCAACCTGGTGCAGTGCGAGAGCCTCGAGGGTGAGCGGGGGAGCGCCGGGCCGGGCGGAGCCCCCGCCCCTTCACGGCCGAGGGCTGAGGGGAGGGCCTGCTGTGAGGGGCTGACGGCGAGTTTGGGGTTGTGTCCGGCATTGCTGTGCGTTTCCACGCCAGGAAACCTGTTTGATACCTTGTTGCTATAAATGAGGTGCTTGGCGTAGCCTGATCCCTGCCTGAGGTGTGCGGTTAGCTTCTGACAGGAGCAGGCAGCACGCAGGAGGTACCGGCAAGTATTTGGAGGTGGTTTTTTTTCTCTCGTGTTCAAACCAAACCGGCACCGCAGAGCTTGGTAAGCTCGGATGGGAACTGCCCTTCCCCTGTGAGCTTTGGGCTGATCCTGCTTCAGCTGCTGTCTTCCTTATTGATCGGTGTGTACAAAGCTGGGATGGTTTTACGTTGCTTGTCGCCTTCAATCAGCTCCTCCTGACCAGTCTATGCTGTGCAGCTCCTCTGTGCTACTGCCCCATTGGATGTTTGTCACTCAGACATGTTAGAAGCCTGGATCAACAACCCACTTCTAAATCATGAGGGCCAAAACCAGCTTGTAGAGATAGGTTGGAACATGTGCCAAGGTGTCTGTTGTTTGTTTTTGGTTTTTGTCAATAGGAGTGTAATTAGAATCATGGAATGGCTGCCCCCAACTGTGGGCTGGCTGCCCCATCAGATCAGATTGCCCAAGGCCTGAAAGAAGTTTCTGGGAAATGTTCCTGCTGGTTAGCAGTGTCAGCAAGCTCTGAACTTTATCACTGCAGGCTTCTTCCTCTTTGGGGTCTTTCTGTATTTGCAGCTTCTTTTTTTTCCCTTCCCCCTTTTTGCATTCTGAACCAAGTTGTGTAAACCCAACTCTCACTCGGAGTGGCATTTTCTGCAGTTGAAATGAGTCAATTTGGATTTCCCATATCATTGCTCTGGTTTTGTTACTGTCTCCTCCAGACAGCTCTGTGGTGGTTGCTGCTGTTCTTGAACCATAAGGGCTGTTCTGAGTTCTCTGCTCTTCCGGTTCCTCCTCTGCTTTGCTTTCTGTATTCCTGCCTGATGTGCTCCTGCTGAAGGCTTTTCCTTCAAAGGAATCTTGCTCGTGATCACTCATGTAGGTCTGTGGTCAGACAGTTTCTCTCCTCTGTCCTCATGGTTCTGATCTTGCTGTCTTACCACCAGTTTTCTGTGTGCTGAAGGCTTTAATGTGAATTCACAGAATCATAGAATGGCCTGGGTTGAAAAGGACCACAATGATCGAGTTTCAACCTCCTGCTATGTGCAGGGTCACCAACCACCAGACCAGGTTGCCCAAAGCCACATCCAGCCTGGCTTTGAATGCCTCCAGGGATGGGGCATCCACAACCTCCTTGGGCAGCCTGAATTCTGTTTGCACTGAATCTATGTAGTGACAGGTTATTGGTAGCCAAAATGAGTAGTTAGGCACAAAATAGTCCTGTGCTCTCATCTGTTTTCCTGTTCTGCCTTCATTGCCTCTTCTTGGTGTGACACCAGTTCTGCAGAATGTCCTCCCAGTCCTGCAGCAAATGGTCATCTCTGCTGTGGGGAAATCCCAAAGAGCTGAGGCTGTCCTGGTGCTGCCTAGGAAAGAATCAACTCCTCTGTGTTAGGACTCAAGCTGACAGCTCAATGCTGCTGGACAGGGGAGATCATGCTTTTCTGCATGATCCTTTGTAGCTCTCCCTGTCTGATAGCAAAGTAAGCTGATTAAAACTCTCGCTTCCTGCTGAGACAGCTTGCTGCTGCCTGAGGAGCCGTATAGCTCAGTGCTATCAGGCTGGCTTTATAAAGGGCTGGGAAACATGACCAGAATCAGAGGGAGGGCATAACAGCTGTTTTGGCTTAAGCTTTCTCTGGAAATCAAGAATATGTTTAATCCTTTGTTTCAGCACCAGAAGTCCTGATGCTTTGGTGATTCCTCATTCAGGTCCCCGTGCACTGGGTACCTCTGCTGGGTATGCTTGGAGCCTGCTGCAACCGATTCCTGCTTCTGACACAAGGTGTCAGTGAAGGACTTGGAGCTGTTTTCCTCTGCCTCCCTTGTGCAAGCTCAGATCTGCTGTGCAGAATCTGCCTTGGCTAGCCAAGCTTATGATTCACCTAGATTCCTGCTGTCAGAAGGGTACTGTGCTGTCTCCAGCTCCTAGAAGCTGCCATAGCCTTTTAGAGGTCTGGTAACTGCTCTGCAGGATATTAAACTGCTGATAGCATTTGACAGCCATGCCTCTGTAGGAATCATAGAATCGTTTGAGTCAGGAGATACTCTTAAAGGTCATCTAGTCCCATCCCCTGCAATGAGCAGGGACACCCACATCTCTGTCAAGTGCTCAGAGCCCCATCCAGCCTGACCTTGGGTGTCTGCAGGAATGGGGCACCACTGCTTCTCTGTGCAGCCTGTGCTGGCAGCCTCTCCATCAGAAGCTGAAGAGCTAAAGGTGATGGGGAAAGGGCTGCAGAAGTCGCTGCTCTGTGTCTAGTTTTGGTGTGGTGTACCTTGCTGGCTGGCAGCAGAGTAGAGGTGGCACCTTACTGCTACTGGTGTGGTGCAACCACAGAAAAGATCTTAAATTCTGCAGAAAATGAATGATCTTTGGGCATTCCTCGAGTCAGATTTCAGAGAATCCATTTCAGAAGCATTTGAGGTGGTTATAACCACCTCATAAAAAGAAGCGACGCAGGGAGCAGCAAAAGCTGCAGCCTTCTGAAGGAGATGTGGGTGACGAGCTGCTCTGCAGGCTGCTGCACAATTCCTCCCTCTGTTACTTTGCTACCTTAGGCCTGGGAGGTGGCAAAGCAAATTTTAATTTTTGTATATGCAGCATCAATTTGGGAGTGCCTGAGCTGAGAGGTGGCTGCTGGAATTACACAGCATGGCCATCTCAAGTACTGCTGTCATGAATACACAGCAAGAGGATGAGGCTCCATTGTGCTGTGTGCTCTTGCGTGGAGCAGCTTTCTGGGAGCTGTGACCTGGCCATGGTTTAACCAGCTTGGTGGGGGAGAGAACAAAAGCAGCGTGGTAATTCAGGAGCTCCCTTGCCAAATGCTGGTTCAGTCTGTTCTCAAAGTGCATGAACCACTGGGAGAAATGCTGGAACAGGCATGCATACCTCTCGACAGCAAGCCCTGGGCTGCCGACACACAGCAGAGGAGATCTCAGGCAATTGCTGCTGCTGCTGCCAGGTCTGAGCTGTGCTGGGGGCTGAGCTTTGGGAGAGCCTGAGCCTTGTGCTGGGGGGATGCTTTGAGTCAGGGTTTGTAAATCCAGTCCAGTTTTTGGAAAACAAGTTCTGTCCGCTTGGATGCTGAGAGATGCAGAGGAGGTCAGTTCCTGTAGCTTGTGGCTGGCCTTCCCTGTAGAAGCTGTTTCCAAGTGTTATATAAACATGGACCCTGTTCCAGTTACATGGCCTCGTGCTGGCTCTTGTGCTCTGTTGTGGGGGCAGCCCCTTCTGAGCAGACAGAAAGCAGTTGGTGGGGGTCTTTTCTGAGCTGTGGGTGGTGGCACTGTCCAAGCAAAGCCTGGTGTGCATCAAGCTGCCCTTTTTAGTCCATTAGTCCCTGGTGGTGGCTCTCTGGCATCAGGTAAGCAGACAGCAAGGTGGATTCTTGCAGTGTGGAAGGTAGGAACTGGAGCTGCGTGTCAGAGCTGAGCACTTTGGAAGTGTCCCCATTGAAATAAGAACTGTTAGGATGTGCAGTAGGTGCCTTTTCTCCAAGCTCCTCAATGGATGCAACACAAAGTCTTGGGGCGTTTGCACAGACTCAGCTTTCATGGAGGCTCTGAGCAATGACAGATGCTACTGATTGTCATCAATAACAATTCCACGTGTGCTAATCTGAGCTGAAGGTCGTTCTGGGTTTGGGTGTAATCCAGTTTTAGGGTGTTTGACTCTCTGATGA